ACACAATAACACCGAATAAATACTAATTCAGAAGTTAAACAACAAAAATCAGCGTTATATTTACAAAATTTTCACAGAATTAGTTTCGATGGTTTTAGCGAACCACCATCCTCAGCTGCAAAACCGAAAAAAGTTAAACTAAGCCTAGTAGCTAAGAACTGCACAACAGATTTTAACTCTAAGTTGGCTCAGAACTTCTTACCAGCGTAACAATTAAATTTCGCAGCAATAACGCAAAGCCGAAGAATGAAAATCTTATCAGACCACGCGAAACCTAGTAACATGGCCTTGAGATGCAGAAACAATCCGAAACTTCAGCTTAAATACTCTCTAACTCATTTGCATTTCTGGTGAGGAAATGTAAAAAAGTTATCGGAAAAGCCGAAATTATAAATAACAGTTACACTGTAAACATGGCAAAATAATAGTAACCATGCAAATCCACTTCATTATATGTTTCTTTATCCCAGACAAAAGGATGATATTTATTGTAATCATGTAGTATGCGATCTATCACTTTTGTTTGTTTATTTCTTACATAGCCTCACTAAAACTGGCTATTATTTTAATCATTTCTTATTGCTGTCCTTTTATAGCCATTCGAATATGAAAGCTATTGGATTTTTTACTTTTATGAAGTTATTGGTATTAAATTAAGAAACTACTGAAACTTATATTGGCTAAAGTGAAGAATAAGAGGCATCCAAGGATTTCCGCGTGAGATAATCATTGTGTCCTGGTAACCTTACTTTCTCGTTCTTTCGTAATGATTTTATTTTGGCAACTCTAGTTTTTTATAACCGCAATTAGTGTCATGTAATAGTTATGTATCAGAATGCAACAGTAGTGTATCATATAATTTATGTAACGTTTAATTCACCCCATGCTGAGACTGTGAGCGATGCAGAGTTTGTAAATTTTTTTATGTTTTTAAGAGAAAACAGATTGGTCCCAAGTAGTACATGACGTAGCAAACTGGTCCGAGAGGTTGCAAAGTGGTCGTGGTAACGTCTTTGCTACGTCATGTGCTACTTGGGGTGTGTTGATGAGGAGAAAATAATAATGCATGTAATATATGTAATGTTTAACGTGCGCAGTGTCGAGACAGTGCGCGATGCCGAATTGGTGCAAGCTTCTGATGTTTTTAGCTTCATAACATAAAAAGTTCAGTAGCTTGCCTATTCGAACGTATGATAAAAAAGCAGAACGCATACCATATGAATAATATGGTAATTTTCTCTTCCAAGTCATAAATAATAATACAGTATTTCTATTGACCAGGGCGAGAACTATTGTTTAATCAGAAAACTATGATGCTGAAAAATATGGATTTAGCTTTTGATACTTTACTAGACTAGCGAGTTATCCCTCCAGTCCGAATTCAAATGACAAAACTTAGAAATTTTAAAATAATTGAACTCTTTAAATTAACATAAGGCACTACTTGTGCTACAAATGAATCTTCATTATTTGCGGGTATTTAATGTAACATAAGATGAAGTTAAATTCAAATTTAGGTAGCGTAGCCTGAGACTTACACATAAAATAGACTACTTAAGCTAGCTCAATTAATTAATGGTGCAAAGGTCAGTTAGCAAGATGACTAAAGAAGGAATAACACTTCTTTAAATGCAGAACTGGTGATAGTCATAACTGCAAGGCGAGACTGCCAGAAGCTCTACCTCGAAAACATTCAAAACCTCAGCTTACTCAGCAATACTCAACAACTAATTAACATTCTAATGAAGACTGCCTAAAGACGAAGTTATAGTAAAGTTTCCAATTTTAATAACTGGATAATTAACATAAAATTCTGCGAATAAACAGATATATTTGTTATTAAGTACATATATAGATTATACAAACTTAATAAATATCCAATTAAAATTTGGAAATATAAAAATAATTTGTTAATTAAGTACATTTATAGATACAAGGGTAGACGAAGCAATGGAGGTCTTGTGGAGAGACCACTCTGCTGTAAACGGTGTCGAATGGTACGCGCAGACACTGGATGATACGTTACAGATTGAATGTGCTGTGCTATGGTTCGTGATGTGACTGAGCGATCCGTCACTACCATGCGCACAATGTTCCTGTCATCAGGTGAAGTGGTGCACTGAGGTGGATGCGATCGAACATGACGGTCCGTCGTACCCTCCTGCATCCAACGGTCAGATATCCGCATTACAGTTGTTTGGTTTCGTTCAACATGACTACCGATGTCCCTAAAAGATAATCCATACTTTCGGTAGGCCACTGTCCTTCCTCTGTCGAACTCAGACACTTGATCAAACGATGATCACTGTTTACTACGAGAAATAATTGATCTTTTTTTTTTTTTTTTTTTTTTTTTTTTTTTAAAAAAAATAAAAAGATCACAAGAAAAATGACAATTGCCGAACTTGAAATCGTCGAAAACTCCAAGTCTTAAATAGCGCTTTGAAGTGGCGCCACTGGCGCGCGTGCTGTGCGTCTGCGCTGAAATTCTAATCATTTGCATATTTCACCTCCGCTAATGCATGTTGTAAATTTCATGTTATTTGCATGCTTCCTTCAGGGTGTTGCATTTATGGTGGCCAGCAGTGTATATATATTTGTTAATTAAGTACATTTTAGATTACATAAACTTGATAAATATCCAATTAAAATTTGGAACTAGGAAATAAATTTGGCAAAAAACAGTGTTAAACAAATTTATTGCATTAAAAAAAAAAATAAAAAAAAAAAAAAAAAAAAAAAAAAAAAGGTTTTTTTTTGATATTACAAATTTTTAATGCAAATTGCATTTTTTTATAGTCTTAATGAAAATGTCATAGACACAACCCCCTCCCAAAAAAAAGCGTAAGCACATTCTCAATTTATTTAAAATATCAAAAATCAGCTTATTACACGGCAATACTATACATTTAATAAAGAAGGTTAATTATATGCTAGACCAGCGGTTCTCAACCTTTTGACTAACGCGTCCCATCTAAACAAAAATTGAAAAACTTTAGTACCACCACTACATTGTACAATGATTATTTTTCAATTTCTCAATAGAAATATTTCAAAAAAAAAATATATTTTGCCATTTGCCCAAGCTATTGGCTACATTAAATGCACACATAAAAAATATTAAATTAAAAATTGGTTACCATTTTAATTATCAAAATTTAAGCTATAAAACTTGAATTCTAAAATTTAGTGCGAAATTTGGGCCTGTTTAAGAGAGATCAGTTTCACTTAACTTTGACCGTAAATTAGGATCCAATATTAATTTTGTTCCAATACATTTTTGTTTGTATTTTTTTTTCAAATAAAACGTAGAAGAAAATACTTGTTCACTCAAAAAGGCAATAAAAATTTAACAGCTTTATTTGAAATACCTAAATTCTTTTTTTTTTTTTTTTTTTTTTTTTTTCAGCCAAAAGTTAACAAGTGTGTTATTTTTGAAATCTTTAATTAACGTTTGATCACAGGAAATTGCAAGCGGCAAACATTTCCCTTAAATGAAGCAGCAATAATTTATTTTTATCAGCGCATAAAATTTGCAGAGTAAAAACAATAATATCTTCTTTAAGGTATTAATAAAAAGAGTCCATAAATTTCAGCAACTTGTGGAGCATACAATTTAAAAAAAATCTGCTCGAAGAGCAGTTATTCTATCATGCAGCGGGCAGCATTCTTTGGACAGCTGTCTAATTGTAATACGAGTATTATACTAAATGTAAAAAAATCTTTGAAAGCTAACAACAGGAATACAAACTGAAAGAAGTATTAACTTTTTGGGGTCCATGTATCTTAAAGGAAAATAAATAAAAGCTCTGTGTTAATTTTTGAAATAAAACTTTAATTCCAACATTTGAAAGTGCTATTTTGCTTGTTGTTAGCAAAATCATTGGTAGCATTATAAATATTTGTCTCATCATTCCAACTATTCTTCTTTAAGCAATGTAATCAGATTTCTTAAATGTACTAGAAGGAGACGAAGCTAGTCTTGTAAAGACATTAGGCATTTTGGAAGCAGGAGATGTGAAAAATGAGCAACATCTTCGCCAGGAATTGAACCACGGACCTCTGGAATACGCTCTCAGGGTCAGACCACTACACCACGAAGGCACGCTCAGAACGCGGGAGAAGTACCTTATAGACTTTCTAAACTTTTCATGGTCACATAAGAGTTCGCTTGATTTTGAAGCGTACCATCTTTATCATGCCTCGCACCCTCAACAACTGCTAACTCCACTCATCTCCACGAATTACTATGGACTTTACACTGGGTCTTAGTCTGTTTTTGAAGTTCATGACATGCTATATATAAAGGTATGTTTTCCCACTGACATTACTCTACCCAGGAACGCAGGATGAGGCTAACAAGTTTAGGTACCTGCAATCAGTAAAACTATGTTCACCTGTTCCATAAAGAGGGAATTTAAAGGAGGGTACTCCGTGTCGTTAGTTGGCTTTCGCGGCTTTATTTTATATTCACAGAAATTAAGACGAAGATTCGCATTGATGATTTTTATAACTAAAATAAAATGCTTGAGATCAAAAGAATTTTCTGCTGAAATTGTGGATCTGCCACTGCCCCCTTATTTATCATTTTGGCGAGCTCATGCTAGAATTATAATTTACCTGAAAACGTGAAAAATACCGGAGCCTGGCTCCTGTAGGCTTTGGCGCAGTTTAAACTCTGGCTATTTAGCGGGTTCTGATGTTTCCTCATGATGGACTATGACAGAACTAATGTACATTCCCACACATTGGAACTAATGTACATTCCCCCCACATTTAACTTAGAAAGTACAACTTCAAATATATCCAAACAAGTCATTTCGCTGTTATTAAAGTTAAAAAATGTGAACAGGACTTTTGAACACTTGATACGTTTATAGTTTTCCTAAAATCGAGAGCAAAATGAATTCTGCGAACGAACTACTATTCTTAACTAATTTATTTCTTGTTCCACAATGTTAAAATCTTTGTAACTCACGTGTGACATTTTTATTCCCCAGGCAAACAAACATGGATGCGGAGAAGAAAAGTAGGGAAGAATATGTAGTTTCAGACAGCGACGACAGCAATGATAGTCTGGAAATCGAGTGCGACGTTTGCGATATCGACTTTAAAAGCGTAAAATCATACGAGCAGCACTTGAAAAGTAAGAAGCATAACAAAATGCTAGGCAAGAAAAAATTGAAAGAAAATTTTAAAAAGCTCAATGAATTAGAAGACAATAATGAGCATGACGATGAAAATGAGGAGGAGGAGGATTCGGAATACAGTTGTGATATCTGCGAGAAGATATTCAATGAATTCTCCCAATATAGAGCGCACATGAAAGGCCAAGTGCATTCAAAAAATCTTAAAAGACTAAAACTGAAGGAAAAGCTGAAAGACATGGAAGAATTCATCGACAGTTTTGTTAAAAATTATGAAGATGACGATGAGTTATTGGAAAAACCATTCGCTCACTGCACTGCATGCCAAAAGTCATTCAGTGGTCCAGAAAATTACCACCAGCACTTAAGAAGTGCAGCGCACGAGAAAAAACGCAAACAACAAGTACTTCTTGAAAAACTGAAGAAAGACAATCCAGATATAAAGTCTGAAGATAACGAAGATGATGAGTACTTTTGCGAGGTGTGCGATAAATTCTTCACCGGTCTTATTCCTTATTTCACACACATGGAGAGTGCTGTTCACAAAAAGGAACTGAAAAGGGCAAAAATTGCTGAAGATCTAAAAGAGTTTTATGTTCGCGATGATGAGGACGGAAAATTTGTGTGCAAAGAGTGCAAAAAACCTTTCAGCGATCCTGTATCTTTGAAAATTCACTTGCTTAATAAAGACCACGAAAAGAAAAAATCTAAGAGTGATATCATGGCTTTGCTGTCAAGTCATCCTGAAATAATCCTCGTCAAATCTTCAGAATATTCAGATGAAGAAGGCGAGACAAGCGAAAATGACGAGGAGGACTATGATTTTCTGATTTGTAACATCTGCCACCTGAGTTTCAATGGCGTTAGAAATGCTCAAGAACATGTAAGGAGTAAAAAACATTTAAAAGTTAAGCAACAAAGGAAAGAACTGAAAGCTCTAAAAAGAAAACTGAAGATGATGAACACGAATCCTGAAAACGAAACTGAACTTCTTAATTTACACAGTTCTGAACACTCAAAAATGGTATCTCAAGCAGGTAATGACATTCCTAAGAATGCTCTGGGCACGCTGAAGCAAGAATGACTTTATTTCTAAGAGTGTATTTTAAAATTAATTTCGAAGCTTATGTATATCCACCAGATATACTATGATTACTCAATTATTATAAGAAATAAACTTTTTATTCATGATAAATTTTAATACTAGAATTCATATTAAGATATGTCATATGTTAATTAATATTTACGATTTATATATTTGATTAATTATAATTATTTTTAGCACTCAAATTTTTCTATTTTATGCAGAGGATTTTTTTAAATAAGTTGCATTTTTGCTTTGCATTTTAATTATTTCTGCATTTGTGTAGTTTATAAGGTCTAAATAAATATTATCTGAAAAACCAAATACTTTCTTCATTTCCTTCAAAACTTATGACTTTAACTAGTTCCTAAGACCACTAAACATAATTCACTAATGTAAATATGTATTATGGCTTTTAATAATCATAAAATTTTGAACACATAATAAAATTTGAATAATTCTGAAAATAATACTGCAAGTGATGCCTAAAAGTAAAATCCGATTTAGTTCACAATCAGAGAGTAATGTATTAAAAATTTGATGAATTCTAAAAATTCACTATATCGGGAATAGATGCATAATATCCGCAGAATTTTGAAAATGACATTGGCAAGGATTCACAACAGTGGTTTAATTTTATGCATAAATTAACCGCTCCGCCTAAAATGTTAATTATAAGAAAGAAAAAAATATGTAATGATTTTAACGAGTTCAATACAATTTCATAAAAAATATTTAATATTTGTAATTAGGCATCTGAATATTTAAATGCATTTTTATTTAAAACAGATTAAAAAGTATTCTGCTTATTTGATTTTTAAGAACTGCATCTATTGTTTTTATATTGTTTGGTTTGTTAATTAGTAACATACAGATTAAAATCGAATGTTAAATATCTTGTATTTTACTGAACGCGCTAACGTGTAAAAGTTAAAAGTATTTACAGGCAGAGGCAATACATTGCTTTTAAATGCTTGAATTTGTTGATTAAAACTGAAAGATATCAAAATTTACCTTCAGCTGTTGTGCGTGAAAGAGCTCTCCGTGAAAAAAAAATAATAATATCACTAGAAAATTAAACGAGATTCTGCATGAAGAGCATGTTGTCCAGTTTTTCTTATTTTTATTCACGTCACATACAAAAACATATTAGACTGAAAAAGTCCTAGGGTAATTAATCCGAGAAAAAAGGAAATAAAAAGCAAGGCTAGTTGCAAAATATCCGTTACAAGTCTAAAGATTTCTTTTCATAAACATTTACCGCAAGGCCTACATGGAAAGAATTCAGGAAACCGCAAATCACGTAGTCTGATGACATGATCATTTTATTTTTAACAACTTGCCCCCTCCCCCCGTGAACCACAGGTTAGGTTCAGGCAATGCAATTAAAGATGAGCCAATAAGAAGTGAGCAGGTGTCAATGCTTCAGCATCATTTGGATCATTTGAAATGGGACAAAGAGGGCGAGAATTAAGTACAGATTCAATTTGAACAATTAGAGTAAAAAATTCTTCATTTAATTAGACTTGTTTTTCCCACCACACGTTTTAAGTGATATTTAAGGGATTTCACACTAGCTTCCCATAAACCTCCAAAGTGAGGAGTAGAGGGAGGATTAAAATGCCAATGTATACCTTCAGTAGCTGAATAAATTTTTATTTCTTCCTCGCCTTTATCTTTAAATAAAGATTTTAGAATTGCTCTTAATTCTCTATAAGCACCTACAAAATTTCTGCAATTGTCACTGAAAATATCTGAGGTTTTACCTCGCCTGGAATAAAAAATATTTAATTTAAGCGTTTAAATGCTGCACTTGTTAAATCCTGTACAGTCTCAAAGCTCAAGGCTTTTGTAGTGAAACATACAAAAATACATACAAATACCTCTTTCTTACCTGTTTACTTATACCTACAAAATTTTTACCACAAATGGACCGCAGAAATCGAGTCCTGGTGTAGCAAAATTCTGGATGTAGTCTACTCGCAGCTGGTAAATCAGCCATCTGTTGCTGCGCAGACCTGGAATTTACCTTTTTACAAATCATACAATTAAATATAATTTTTCTAATTACATTGTTGCAAAAACAATCCAAATTTTACTCCTTATAAGTGATAGTGTTGTTTCAGCATCTGCATGAAAATAAAGAACATGATTAATCACAATTACAGTAAAATTATGTTTAGTTGGCAGAATCATAGGATGTTTTCTCATTTCACTTAAGTCACTGTTTTTCAGTCTAACACCCACTCTGAGTACTCCATCATGATCTAAAAATGGACGCAAATTCAATAGTTTACTATGAATATTATTATATTTATTAGGAATAGGAGTACCCTTCTCTAAGCACTGGATTTCTGTCACAAATGAAGTCCTTTGAACGTTTTCACAATACACAATAACGCACTAGAAAGTTCACTGGTTGTCAACTTTCCGTGTGTAGCATGCAATGGATGCCTGGTGTTATGCAAGAATCTCTTGGACCAAGCCACTACTCTAAACAATTTTTTGTAAGATGAACAATTATTGATCACATCTAAAGGCTCAGAAGTGTTAATAAGTGCACATATTTTACTTACTGCTAATGGTTTTAATTCGCGACGATACAGTTCTTTGGACTCCTCAGGAATATCATCTTGGCACTTAGTCATCACAAGTTGAAGAAGAAATGGGGAACTACACCACCACAGTTAACACAGTTGAAGTTTACTGAGGTCCAAACCTCTGGATATAAGATCACTCGGATTCTCCTTTGGGTCGCCGCTTTTTCGGATGGCCCAGACTTTCCTCTTACTATCGATAGGCAGACTTTTGTCATCGATAATGAAATGGACGTTGTTTATCGATTACGAAGGTTTTAATGTTTTGGAATCGTGTATGAACTTTGTGAGAAGGAACATTAATATCGCGAAACCTTGCGATTTAAAGGAATACTTTGCAGACACGAAGTAGAAACTGTTAAAAAAATTTGCTTACTACTACAGAAAATCATAATCATTCGATGATAAGAGTATGCGATGTATGATACGAGTTATGAAAGTAAATGTAAAGATAATGTATGTATGTATGTATGTGAAGTAAATAAAATCCTCTAGTACGGAAACGCTTTATTTGGTTATTTAGTTGAAAGTTTGGCCATTTTGTTCTATTTGTTCTTAAGTACTTATCAACATAAATTTTTATTAATTTTATTGCCTAAGATCTAGTTGATGGTTTGAGATCTGGTCCAAGTTAAAAAAATGTTTATAGACATTCATATTCATTAATTTTGTTGCACAATTAATGTTGTTTAATAGAGTTCTGTTTGATTTTTATTTGGTTTCATTGTCAGCTATTGCACGCTTTTTTTTAAATAGCTGATGCTTTACAAAACCTTCCATACTATATTAAACAGGGTATACTATGTTAGATTTGAAAGTTTTTATTGTTTTTTTTTTTTCAGAAACTCAACAATTGCCTCAATGACTACTGTATTTTTCATCTTGTCTTATTGTATAAATGCAATCTGTTGATTTGAAATATAATAATTTAACAGTCAGTGTGTAAAGAAAATTCATTCTTTAGTTTTATCACGAACAATGTTTTTCAAAATAATCTTATAATTAAACACAACCAGTTCAAAAAAATATTCTGTTTTATTTTAAGTTAATAGTTCACCATAAAATTACATGCATTGAAATATTAGGAAGTTATAATAATGAAGATCTTGACACTTTCGGAAAACAGGAAAGTTTTCTGAAGTGTATATATTTCTTTAGTGATGTATAAGTCAATGCTATTTAGCTTGTATAATATCACATTACTGTCTATTTTGACTGACACCAGTAGACTAGCAGATAAGATAGCTGAACACTGGATGTTTGATCCAGGTATAAATACCGGTGAATGGGATAGCTGCATGGGAATTTTCCTGTTTCTCCTCATGGATTATGTGAATACAAGTCAATTTCTCCTAGAAATACCTTCTCAAAGGCATCCCTTTACCTAAGGTACATAGATCTTACTGTACGTTACCTTGTTTTGCGTAACTTAGCATAGCCATCAACACCTTAATAATTTTAATACAAAATAACATTTTTTTTTTTTTGCTACCATATTACCACAACAAGTTTCGCAGGATGCACCAAACTGTGCAACAATGTGTATGTGCATATAACAATTCTTCAGTTTTTAATAAGCAGCAGCATTTATTTATTTATTTATTTATTTTTTATTTTTTTTTTTTTTTTATTTATTTTATTTTATATATATTATATATATATATATATATATTTGTCTTTGTCCAAGTTACAATGATTTTTATAATCCATTTTTATTTTTATAACAAATCATTTATAAACAAATCGTACTTTTTTAAATGTGAAATTAATTTTAAAATATGCACTTGTGGAATTTGTCTGCAATGGATGAAATAGTAGTATGAATAAAATTCTGAAAAAATAAAGCTGTATCAAATTTTAAAGTTACAGAAGAATGGAATTTGCTATGTTAGTTGAATTTAAATTACCTGGAATCTTTCTCCCTTCGCTGTTGCTATACCACCAGAAGAAAACCAACTATGAAAAGCATCCTGCAAACAAAAATTTGCTTGTAACAAGGTTTATTGGTTGATTGACACAGACTTTAATGGCATATTTGTGACCAAATGAATCTAAAGGAAACGAGTATGAAGGGTAGTTTTACAGGTTAACTTGTTTTCAAATTAGCAACTCTGTGAAAGGGATCATCCAGCTGTATTGACACTGCATGTTCTTTCTCGTATCTAGTTATCTGGCTGTAACAGGCAGTTAAGATAAAAACACTTGTAACACTGCTTAATTTTTATGTATGGTAGACTAGTTACATGACTACGACATTTTTCCACTACTTTTTTTACACTGTAAACTTGGTTTAGAAAGTTATTTACCAAGATTTTGGGATGTTGTATAGAAATATCATATGGAACAACTACAGTCAAATGTATTGTTTCAGAAGAGAGTATATCCTCTTGTAAGGATCTTAAGTTTTACTAACGTTTATTTTATTTTAAATCTTTACTATCACTTCTTATTTTCTACTTCCGGCCAGAATTATAAGCGTTAACGTATTTATGCAAAGTTTGTCTGGCGAGCGCCAAGTATTTAAGTTGTGGCTTTTTGCCAAGCGAGAGAGAGGAAGCAGTTAGTCGAAGCAGGCCGCTTACCTTAGAAGTTTTACTCAGTTGCTGGTTGCCTTCCAGGCCAGAGGTTTA